ATGTAGCACGATGTTATCAAGTGATTCAGTGTTCCTAGAGTACAACTTGAACTGAAGGCCCCCATGATTTTTCATTAGTGGAGCGAGGGTGGGGACGCCTGTGACATGCTAACACAATCAGCTCACTTTGTGATGCAAAGCTCCATTCTTTCTCTATCAATATGCAATATCTTGCAGATTTGATGATGTCTAAATAGTGTAAAATGGTTCCTAGTAATAGAATTTGGTAATCGTTCTTTTCAAAAAAATTGTTATCAACTTCTTTTACCTTTCATATGGGGCTGTGTTAGTTTAGGGTTTGTTGACAACTATTACGAATAAAGTCAACAATTTAGATTTTGTTATTACTTGATTACATGATATGTCTAATTTCATCGTTATTTACTTGGTGTTGTTGTTGTTGTTGTTTACTTGGTGTGAGTTATGACTGATGCTTTTCTAAACATGTATATGCGTTGCAGGCTTTATGATTCTCATGTACATATTTGAGACATATCTTGACATTCGTCAGCATAGAGCCCTCAAGCTGCCAACTTTGCCAAAACCCCTGCTGGGAGTAATTAGCGATGAAAAGTTTGAACGCTCTAGAGCTTATAGCCTCGACAAAAGGTTCATACAACACTGTTGTCCCTTTTTGCAAACTTCATTTTAAAATCATTTCTGACGCCCAAATCCATTAGCTGGCTTGTCTGTCTAGAATTCTAGATTATTGATATTGAAGCTTTTTTGCTTTATCTTACAGCTACTTCCATTTTATTCATGAGGCTGTGACTATTTTAATGGATACCACAATACTGTACTATAGAGTTCTTCCCTGGTTTTGGAAGGTAAAACAAATCCCTTGCTTCCATCAATCTCCTTATGCAAGTGTTTTGGTTTGTGACTAGATCAGATCTTTCTGCAGAAATCTGGAGAGTTAGTTACCAATGTTGGCCTGAATGCTGAGAATGAGATAATACACACCCTTGCATTCTTAGCTGGTGCCATGGTTTGGTCACAGGTACTAATAATTCTCCTCCCTAAACCATAATCTATGTTAAATTCATTTATCCTTTTATACCCATCTATAATATATCTGAATAGCTTCTGTAGCTTTTGGCACTTAAACTGGAATATGTACAGCATTTACTTCGTTCTGTTGAACCAATAGTGTTATTGTGCTATAACATTAGTGCCGGATCATCTGACTATGATGGTAGTAAGTGTTATGACTTATGAGTGAGGACTGAGAATGGAGCATTGTGAATTGTGATATCTATACACACTCTGATGCACACTATGCCCTGCTGTGCTTTGGGTCCAAAAATGTTTGTGACTCTCCCAGTACTTGCTCTCTGTTTGGCCAGCCAATTTATTTTCATGATTTTGAAATTTCTGTTTATAGAAAAAAAATGAAAAGATGTTATTTATCTTCTACCATATTACTGCACCATGTCTATTTAACATTTCAATAAATGCTTAGATTTTGTTTAAAAAGCAGTTGCAAGGTGCATTTAATTAATCTATTTCAAATTTGCATGGATCAATATTTTGAGGTCTTTTGGGTTGTAATCATCGTTTCATGTTGATTGCTTCGGTGACTAACCATGGCTTTAATTTTGAATCTGATCATTGCTGTGTCCACAATCAGCCCTACTAGAACTGTGCCATTTTTTGTTTTCTAGAGAAACAGCTTCTCATTTAGAGCACAAATGATTGTCAAATCCACTATTGATGTGAAAAAATAATGCATACTTCATGAATTGCAGATTACAGACTTGCCGTTCTCTCTTTATTCAACTTTTGTTATAGAGGCTCGGCATGGTTTTAACAAGGTGCGTTCACATTTTCTATTTTTACCTTTTATTTAACTAGGTAGGAATATATGTTTGATATTTGGCAACTTGCAGTGTTTGATAAGTACCGAAGTAACTGGGCTTATGAATTTCTTATCTTCATTTTCCTGATATTTTTATACTGAGATTTCTCTTGCTTCATACCTTGTAGCAAACTATATGGCTCTTCATTAGGGATATGATCAAAGGAATTTTACTATCCATGATATTAGGGCCACCAATCGTTGCTGCTATCATCTACATAGTACAGGTAACTCCTCTTGTTCAATTGTTTAAAAATTAGTTATTAGCAATTATGTGCACAGCACTTTTTTTTTCCTTTGACCTGTTTTGTTAGTTGGTTTTTCCAAGGTCCACAGAATCAAAATCACATGTGACTTATGGTAGTGTCATCTAAGTGCACCAGCTGATTCTTTCATTTTTTTCTGTATTTTTTCAGATTGGAGGACCTTACCTGGCTATTTATCTCTGGGGTTTTATGTTCGTATTAGCTCTTCTGATGATGACAATATACCCAATTGTGATAGCTCCTCTGTTCAACAAGTTCACTCCTGTGAGTATCTTGTTCTAGTGATAGCTCAAACGTGCCTCATCTGCTATTTCTTGTTTTGCACTAAATTAGCGTGAGTTAAGATTGAATTTTGTGGTTGCACTGATGTCAACAGCTTCCTGAAGGAGTCCTCAGGGAGAAAATAGAGAAGCTGGCAGCTTCCCTCAAGTTTCCTTTGAAAAAACTTTTCGTGGTAGATGGGTCTACCAGATCAAGCCACAGTAATGTATGTTAATTACTTATTACTCTATGTTCCGAGTCCAGTTTCATTACTACCTAATAAACACTGTTTAGTGCTGCTATTTGAACCATTGATTCTCTTTCAGGCCTACATGTATGGTTTTTTCAAGAATAAACGCATAGTACTCTATGACACATTGATTCAGCAGGTTCTATCCTTCAATCAACTTTTAACCACTTTTAAGTTATTTTGTTTCATAAAACATTGGCATGCATGCACAGAATTGACCTTTTTTTGTTGTTGATTTCAGTGTAGCAATGAGGATGAGATAGTTTCTGTTATTGCACATGAACTTGGGCACTGGAAACTCAATCATACTGTCTATTCCTTTGTAGCTGTCCAGGTATTCTCTCATTCAAATAACTAACTGACCTTTGCATGCCATTTATTTATCCAGTCGTGTGTCCTGCACTAGCATTTGAGTATTTGTTGGATAAAGGGGTGTAATTATCCAATGATATTTTCTTTAACATGCAAATTTGCCCCCAAAGAAAACATGTGGCATTGCTTTCGTTGAAAGGACCTGTTCAGGATCATTATCATCCAGCGCAGGGTATGCTGGAAGGTAAGGATGAAACTAAGGTTGGGTGGTAGTGATAATAAAAGCTGTATCCATTCCACAGATACAACTGGTCACCGAATTATCTACTATTAGTATTTAAATAAGTATCACCTATGGTTGTCCAATGAAAAGCGATAGTTCTAGTGAAGCCCCCACAAGATGCCAATGGTTAGAGTGGACGTGTTGTGATGGGTGGCTGCTAGATTACTCCCTCAGAATTGCTGGAAGAAAAAGGAGAAAGACTGTTACTTAGCCTTTTCTTGCTGTTGAATTTTTCCGTTTTCATTTCATTATTGCTTTGCTTCTTGTGCAGCTGCTTATGTTTCTTCAATTTGGAGGATATACTCTAGTGAGGAACTCCAAAGATCTATTTGAAAGTTTTGGCTTCGAGGACCAGCCAATAATAATTGGATTGATCATTTTCCAGGTATGTTTTAGTATAGTTCGTAACGGGCATCATCATTCTGTTTTGTTCTTTCTCAAGATTTTTGGTACCAACTACTAAATTCTGTCTAACAAGACAAATCTTTTTGAGATGAATTCTAATTAAGGTGATACTTTTCGATTCAATTTGCCTTGAAAATTTAGATGCGTTGTTCTATGAATTTTTGACATTATAATCATTATTGCTCGATTAATGCATGCGTTGCTTTGATTGCAGCACACCATAATACCCATCCAACACCTTCTGAGCTTCTGCCTGAACCTTGTCAGCAGAGCATTTGAATTCCAGGTCATTCTTCTATCTGCCTCCAAGTTTCCTGCTATTGACAGCTTTAAAGATTTTGGTTGCACTCACTTTAATTCAATTTCTAGGCTGATGCCTTTGCCAAGAACCTTGGATATGCCCCTCAGCTCCGAGCGGCCCTTGTTAAGCTACAGGTAACACCATTTTAATTTATTCTGTGGTTCTTATAGTTAACAGTGGCATTACTGTTTATTTTTCTAAAGAATATCTGAACTGCAAGGTGTGATCATATATGTAGCATGCTTTCCCTCTCGCTATAATCGAGTAACTCCATTTTCGATTGGCGTCCCTTTGTACTTGTGTTGTTATCTTGTGCCTCCGTAGCAAGATTGTGTTGTTTGTCCCACATTCTGTTATACAGCCACAACATTTGCATTCAGCACTCTAAAGCATGTTAAAAATTTTCAGGAGGAGAACTTGTCTGCGATGAACACCGATCCTTGGTATTCGGCATATCACTACTCCCACCCACCTCTCGTCGAAAGGCTGCAAGCTCTTGAAGATTCAGACAGCAAAAAAGAAGACTAATCCTAACCGGCAGAGCTGTTGTTCCTGAAGGCCAAAGCGTTGGGGCATGTTCGCTTGAATTTATCAGCCGGCTTATCAGCTAGAATCAACAGTATTTTTCTCTCACAGCAAAATAGCTTCAGCCGGCTTTAATACCAGCCGGTTTATCAGCATCTTGTATGAGGTTTCCATATGTATGTCCCTGCCGTGCGCAACGGGTACTGATTCAGTGGTTGAATGTTGAGGGCTTCGATACATGAGCGTGTTGCCAAAGTTCTGTAAGCATCCAGCGCGTGTAGCAGTCTATCGGTTAGTGAGAAATATAAGAAAATCATCAATTCAAAACTGATGCATCTTTCTGAGTTAGTGTGCAGTTAATTGCTCAACTTACCACTAAAACATACATGCACGTGCAGAGAGAGTGAGAGACGCCTCTGAAGTCTGAACAGTACTCTTTCATCTGGATACTGTTTCCTGTAGACAGCACGCACCGTCTCTCCTAAATCCAGACATGCGGGGAGTTGCTGGCCCAGCCTCCAAAGCGAGCTGCGATGCCGATGCTCTCCCTCTGCACCCCGTCGTCGCCTCCGCTCCCACCGCCTCCCCACGCCACCGTCACAGCCCCTCCCGCCTCCGTCGCCCTCCTCCGCGAGGCCGCGGCACGGCGCGACGCGGCGCTCACATCGGCGCTCCACGCCGCCCTCCTCAAGTCCGGCGCGCTCCGTTCCCCGCATGCACCCCTCGCCGCAACGAACTCCCTCCTGCACGCCTACCTCCAATGCCGCCTCCTCTCCCGCGCGCTCCCCCTGCTCGACGAAACGCCCCGCCGCGACGCGGCCACCTACGCCTCCCTCATCTCCGCGCACTGTCGCCTCGGCGCGCCCCTGGACGCCCTCCGCGCCTTCCTCGACATGCTGGTCCTTGGATTGCCCTACAGGGATGTTGTTTCTTGCACGGCCATCATATCAGGGTGCGTGCTCAATGGTATGCTCGAAGAGGCCCTCGAGGTGTTCGTCATGATGCTGGAAGATGGTGTCCTCCCCAACAATGTCACGATGCTGAGCGTCATTCAGGCGTGCTCTTTGATGGGCGCCTCGGAATTGTTCAGTCCAGTGCACGCTCTTGTTGTTCTGTTGGAGCTCGAGCATGATGCCTCAGTGGTGAATTCTCTCATCATGATGTATGCAAAGAATGGATTTGTTCAAGATGCTATCTGGCTTTTCAAGGGATTCTACCTGAAAAGTGGGAATGCGTGCTCTAACGAGGATGTTCTTGCGGCAGTTCTTTATGGTTGCACCATTTCGGGATCCATGAAGACTGGGGTGGGGGTCCATGCGCACACGATTAAAATGGGTGCTTTCCCAAGCATCAGCGTTGAGAACTCCCTTATGGCCATGTATGCTAGATTTGAGCAAATCGATGCTGCACACTTGGTATTCGAAGGTATGAAGGTTAAGGATATTGTTTCATGGAACACCATCATCTCATGCTTTGCCAAGAGTGACCGTGTGAATGAAGCCATGGAGCTTTTCAGCGTACTTCATGCTGCTGCTGGTGGGCTTGCGCCTGACTTTGTCACGGTCTTGAGCATCCTGTAGGATTGCTCCAATGCAGGATTACTTCATCAAGGGCAGATGCTCCATGGGTACATGAAATCTGGTTTCGTGTACGATGTTTCAATATGCAATGCTCTCATAAGCATGTATGCTAAGTTAGGAAGACTAGATTTTGCTGAGATGATCTTTAAGCGGATGGATATTAAGGACATTGTTTCCTGGAATTCAATGATCAATGCTTATGGTATGCATGGCGATGGTCATTCAGCTCTTAGGGTTTTCCACCAGTTGAAGGATGCTGGAACACCTTTGCCAAATGCTATCACATTTGTGAGTGTGATATCAGCTTGCAGTCACTCTGGTTTGATTTCAGAAGGTTACAAGTGCTTTGAAAGCATGGGAAGAGACCACAGCATTGAACCTAGCATGGATCACTATGCCTGTGTAGTTGATCTGCTTGGAAGGTCTGGGAGATTTGCAGAGGCTGAAGAATTCATCAGGGACATGCCTGTCCGTCCCAATTCATCCATCTGGGGACCTCTTTTGGCTGCTTGCCAGCTTCATGGGAATGTTGATCTTGCAGAAAAAGCTGCTAAAGAATTGTCTGCCTTGGAACCGGAGAGTGACATATGGAGAGTGTCCTTGTCAAATATCTATGCCTTGGCTGGAAGATGGAGAGATGCTGCAAAGATTAGGACTGAAATGAGGAGAGTTGGATTGAGAAAGGAGACTGGGTGGAGTTTTGTAGATGTTGGAGGGGTTGAGGGTTTTAAGTTCGTGTCAGCAGATACAAGGCATCATGATGCTGAAAAAATATATTCAGTATGGCACAGTATGAACAGGCACATGGCAGATCTAGCTGCTGATGTGCATAAACTTAGTCCAATTAGTGCAGTTTAGTCGATGCACGAGATGTTTATAGATCTAGCTGCTGATGTGTCTTGGTCAGGTCAGTCAGAGTGATGAAATAGACCTTTTGTAGTCATGAGGTTAGACTTAAAATTACTGTTTATCCATTGTTTTGAATGCTGAATATAGGCAACAAGAAGTAAATAAACAGAACACACATGGAACTGGAGAAAGCTGCAGCATATTGCATTGGCGCTTGCTTAAATCTTGCTTTGGTATTCAATCTGATGCTTTCCTTTCATGTTGAAGGTTGAAACTATGCTGTGTGCTTAGCAGGTCGATTTTTTGGCCTCAATTTGGATCCTGACTATCACACTGAGTGGTAGTTGTCCTTTGCACTGATGATGATAAGATAATCCAGTACACCAGTAGAAATGTAGAGAAGTCTTAATTATGTTACTAATACACTAGTACTTATGAGTTTATTTAAATCTATCTGATCTTCACCCATAATTTTATGTATCTTGTGAGCAATCGATAACTATGGCTTCATTTTGTTGAACCTGGTTAAAGGAAAATATTTTTATTGGTGTAAATGAAGTTCACCGGATGTTCACACTAAGACGGCCAGACCTCTGCTTATCGATATGAATCGCATTCCTATATATCAATTAAAGTCAACTCAACATCATGATACATCATAGGGGGGGGGATCCCTGAAACAAACTGACAGCACAAGTAAAACACAGAAAATTTCTCATTGCAATCAGCTTTATTGTTTCGACCACACGAAGATTTCCAACAAGGACAAAGTATAACGTAACGACCTTTTCTCTGTAGCACAATACAATTAGCTACTATTTGTTCTTTCTACTTCCGCATCAGGAGAACTACAGTATGAGCAGCTATGCTCCTGTTTTCCCCTAGACTGTCAACTTTCTCGTGCGTCTTGGCCTTGAGATTGACCACAGATGGATCTGCCCCAAGTAGATCACACAAATTTGATCGGATTGTTTCCTTGAATGGGCTAATTTTTGGTCTTTGCAAGATCAGCGTAGCATCAAGGTTGCCCAGCTCATAGCCTGCTTCATGCATCAATTTCACCTGAAACGACATGGCAATCGAAAGAGCTTACAGTTGTACATTGAGACTTCAAGCATTTCAATGCTAGAATAGAAGCAAGTGTTTTCTATAAGATGAGAGAACAGCTATGCTCAGATTAGAGATAACACCCTGCATAAATTGTTTGAAGGGGCAACGAATAGTGTGTGATGCTAAATAAGTGACATAAGTCAAATTTCACTAGTCAACGGGTTTATGCAGAAAAGGAGGCACAGTTTGATCCCAAATTCTAAGGCATGGGGAAGATTTGTGTCCAGCTCCTCCAAAAGTACCAATAGTATGTGCAGTCAGCATTCTATGCACGTGGCCCATGCCTTGTACAAAATCTAAAACGTGGAATACTTTCTGCCCTTGAAGAGTCCAAAGGTCAAAAACACATTTTGCAGTCAGCGACTCATGTAAGAACTGCCAAGACATCTTGGCATAATAACGACTGAGCATCTAATGATTCAGGAAAAAATAGACCAGTGAAACAGTGAGCAAGCAGGGAATGAACTATGGCGTTTTCAAGGATATTCTCCACTCCAAATACCACAAGGCATCTACATATTACATTTTGACAAAGCTATGAGTATATAACAAATACGAGCAGAAATAATAATTAAACAACATGATATGCAATAAGATGTGAAGTTATTTATTTAAAAAAATGACGTGGAATTACGAAAGGTTCACCAAATTTTAGGTAATCAATCAATCTACAGTATGCTCTGATAATTGATCCAGCACTTCAAGCACAGAGAAACCGTCCAATTTACACATGATATCAAAATCCTGACATGCTTCATATTAATCAATATAATCAGTAGAGATTACCCAACTGTTCTCTAAAACCCCCAAAATTTCTCTATGAAACTCTACATTTTGTTGTGACTAGCAAATATACCCGTGCGACAAGCACATGTTTACAAAAAATATTTCAAATGCAATGGGAATATTAATTGAATTCTCGATATATCAGTTCATATATATCAAAATCCTGACATGCTTCATATTAATCATTATAATCAGTAGAGATTACCCAACTGTTCTCTAAAACCCCCAAAATTTTCTATGAAACTCTACATTTTGTTGTGATAAAGCATTCAACTAGCTGTTGAAACCATGCTACTTACACAAAATACCGCAGATCCTAACATGGTTAGGGAGACATGATGGAATTGATTGCATCGAATGAACTAGAGATAACGCACTAGAAAGAAGAGGAACTCACAGCTTCCTTCATGAACACAGAAGAATCGGCGCCCTTCCAACGGGGGTCGGAGTCCGGGAAAATCTGCCCGATGTCTGGCAGCCCCAGCGCGCCGAGAATCGCGTCCACCACGCAGTGCAGCAGCACGTCGCCTGCACAGGGCGAAACAAAAATTGCCAAACGCGAGGTCAGAAACGGAACCACGCAGGAACATAGAGGGCAGTGGCGGCCCCAGGAGCGCGTACCGTCAGAGTGAGCCTCGCAGCCGCGGTCGTGGGGGATGTTGATGCCGCCGATGATGAGCGGGAGGTTGGGCTCCAGGCGGTGGAGGTCGAAGCCGTGGCCCACGCGGAACGGTAGCGCGGGCGGCTTCGGCGTCGCGGCCACCGCGGGCTGGTGCTCCGCCTGGACGGCGGCCGCGATGGCCGGGGACGGCCTCGGCCGGAGGCGCAGCGACGGCTGGGCGGAGGGAGGGCAGGACCCGGCGCGGGCTCGTGGCGCGGTGGAGATGGGGGAGGAAACCAGGAAGAGGGAGGAGGCGTTGGGGGCGGTGGCCATGGCGCCGCAGCCGCTGCTGGTGCTGACTTGGTGGGCGAGATAGCACAGTGGCCGAGCTTTTCTTGGGATGCTCGGTGAAGGGGAGAGCGAGGAGGAACCGAGAAATCCTTGCGTTTTTTTTTCGTGTGCCGAATTATTTGCGCCAAGCCGAAGTGAGCATCTGGAGCTGGAGATGCGATGGCTGCACCCGCCGTTGGAGGAGAAATTCTTAAGTACTCCAGGTAGGTTGCTACATTAGCCTTTGACCGAAATTAGCACGAGCGTTCCAGTCCAACGGTGTTGCTTAGGTATTAAAGCTGGCTGAAGCTGTTTTATTATAAGAGAAAAATACTGTAGATTTTAATTGATAAAGCAAACACAGTTGAGTTTTATCATGGTCATTGGACTCTGAAACTGAAACCAAGACACATGGTAGGGTCCAGGGAATTGCCTTTATTTCTCTCAAAAAACGTATCTTTGGAAATTGGAAAGCCTGACTATGCTGTTTTATATGAGTAGCATTGCAAAACTAAAAATAAAACAAAAACATTTTTTCTGAACTAATAAACTAAAGCATTTGAAAAGCCACTTCAAATAAGATATCCACCCTTGCAATGAACTCGTTGCCAGAGTAACCAGACCGCTGATACGGCAACAAAAAAATGTGGCAAAGACAAGTCGCTGGGTTTCGTCGACACTGCATAGATTTCAAATGGTAGTGCTAACGCACAAGTCTCCTTTACATTGTGAATTTATTTTCCTTTTACACAAGGGCAACGCCTGATGCAATATAGACAACACATAGGAACAACAAATATTCGAACGGGGAAGATAAGCCGCATTACAGCACCATGATCGCCTCAACTCCTCAAGTGAAACTTGCACTCTCAGTCAGATGGAGACGGCCACATGGGGCACAAAGTTCCGTATCAAGAGAGCAGCCAGAAACCAATCAGAAAACTGAACTCAACGAATGGGAAAGGGAGTAACCGGCATTACTCAAAATCTCCTTTCCTCTTTCCATTTCCTAGGACAGCCTTGATCTGAAGCAGCACTCATGAGCCTAGATGACCGGGCTTTTGGGATAGGGTAGGACAGGAAGGCACACGCTTCCTGGCAAAAATTATATATACACATCAGGCCGCAGACCAATCTCACCTTTCAGAAGCCTACTGTACACGGCTGCACCCTTACACAATCTTCAGCCGAAGGCACAAAGCTAAGCGAGAAGCACAAAGGTGCAAGCGCCTTCATCACTCATCGGTGCTACGCCAGGGCACCATCCTGAGGTCTGTTGAACTGAAATTATATGTCGAGAGACCTGGCCACACTATTCGCCTTTAATCCTGGAATAGTTATGAACTTGTCAGTAAATTGTGGGAACAAAAGAGGTGGCCGGACAACGAAGAAGGCACACCTTACATGAAAGGCGTACTCATCGCTAGAGCTGAACTCCTGGAGCTCCCTAGCTCAAGTCCATCAGAAGTGCTATATGAAGACAACAATTTCCTCTGTGTAAAAAATGCATAGAGTACAGCTCAGTTCCTTTTTATGATTGAGAATAAGAGAAATGCATCCTGGTTAGATGATCAAACTGTACTGCATGCCCAGTTTAATATACAAGTTTACCAGTGCTGAGGTGCTTGGCTAACCTGTAGTGCTTGGCACAGATTAGTTCTTTACTGAAGACTAACTTTCTGAAGATTAATCCGTGCTAACCTGATACACTTAGCACAGATTAATCTTGTGTTTTCTCACTTAATGCAATGTGGGTGTCAGGACATAAAAGTCTATGCTATAAGATAGTGGTTCAGACTTCAGGCCTGCTCTACTGAGTACTGGCATCACCAATTGTCAAGCCCTGCTAGAAGCACCAATTAAGACCATGAATGGTTCAAGAAGGCAAAACTACACAAATGACAAATCATGTGTATCTTCTTTACATGCTGACCGAATGAGATTTTTCAAAGTGGCTACCTCCACTGTATACACACAGCAAAACTGACATAACATGATGGATAACATAGTTCTGAATACTAATATTTTAAGAAAGGTAAAGGAAACCTCTATTAGAGGAAATACCATAGAGAAATGATGCAAACAGCAAAACACAGAACATGAACCAGACCCTTAAAGAGAACATTACAATTACTAGTGGGTCGAAATACACAATCATCAATTAGTGACAAACAATTTAGTAGAGGCATAATCTGAAGACATGTTTGAACTACTTACTTGATCTTCAAAATCAGGACTGGTCAAATTGATGGAGAGATTCCTCATCAGAAACAGTGCCTAATGGTAAATAGACACACATGTCAATCAGTGAACACAGGCAGAGTTCCAAACCATAGTTCTGAGCAAATGATGAATTCAACAGAGACAATGAAAAATGATGACTATTCAGTTTGCCACAATGCTTGAATGAGGAGAACTTAACAACTGCCAGGCATCGTGTCATGTGGGGCATGACGTACACCAGGCGCCGGCGAGCCCGGGATATCAGGCGCGCAGCTGAACGCGCAGCCAGAGCGGCATCGGCGCAGGAGGAAGCCACCACGTGTGGCTAGGAAGGAAATTAGATTAGTTTCCCTGCTTTGTTTCCTTAAGAATAGGAGGTGCTGTTTCCTTAATTTTAGAAAAGGTTGTTGCCTAGTGTGAGGGCCGGTTGGCTATTAAGTCTGTAATTCCGTGAACAATGAAGGGGAGAAGATTATTATTATCTAAACCTATCTCTCTCTTCAATCAAGCCTGCGGTGGAGGGGCAAACCTCGCCGGAGAAGACGGATCGCGGCTACGAACTACGTAGTCGGGGTCGTGCTATCTTAGGGATTGACGCCCTTGACAACCTGGTATCACGGTCACACCGATCCTCTTCTTCCTCCGCTGCCGAACCACCACCAGCCGCCACCACCTCCACACATCCAACCACCGCCCCCGCGTTATCTTCCCCGTCGTCCATCGCCTCCTGTTCCACCGGCGTCATGGGGGACGCGCTGCAGGCGTCCATCGAGGCGCTCACCAAGCACATGGAGATGCTGCAGAAGTCCACGGAGACCATGCAGCAGTCCATCGCTGCCAACGCCAAGGCGATTCACGATCTCACCACCACCGGTTCCTCGGCCTCAGGAGGGCGACCAGGCGCCGGAGAGCACCATCAAGACCGGCCGCCTAAACACTGGCGTCCCGAGTTTCCGCGCTACGACGACAAGACTGATCCGCTCATCTTCATCAACAAATGCGAATCCTTCTTCTTGCAGCAGCGCATCATGGCGGAGGAGCGCGTGTGGATGGCGTCGTACAATCTTCAAGAGGGGGCGCAGCTCTGGTACATGCAGGTCCAAGAGGACGAAGGTACACCGACCTGGCCGCGTTTCAAGGAACTTCTCAATCTGCGCTACGGCCCCCCTCTCCGCGCGGCACCCTTCTTCGAGCTGGCGGCCTGCCGTCGCACGGGGACGGTGGAGGACTACCAAGATCGGTTCCAGGCGTTGCTGCCCCGCGCCGGCCGCGTCGAGGAAGCCCAGCGGGTGCAACTTTTCACGGGAGGACTCTTGCCTCCGCTCAGCCTTCAAGTCCAGATGCAGAACCCGCAGACTCTTGTGGCTGCCATGAGCCTCGCTCGGCAATTCGAGCTTATGGGGCAGTACACTGCCGGCCCAGCACCGCCCAAGGGGCCACCTCGAGGCGTCCTACCCACGCCTGGAGCGCATCCAATCCCGCCCCTGCCGGCCAGAGCACCGGTGCCCACGGCGTCCGTCGAAGGCCGTCCCGTCCGCCGCCTCAACCAGACCGAGCAAGAGGAACGCCGCCGCCTCGGACTGTGTTTTAATTGTGACGAGAAATACAGTCGCGGGCACAACAAGGTATGCAAGCGCTTGTTCTTTGTGGACAGCGTCGAGGAGGACGATGAGGGCGAGCACAGCGAGGCGCCGCAGGACGTGGAGGCGCCCACGTTCTCCCTCCACGCCGTCGCTGGTGTTCCGACCAACGCCGCGCTCCTGTTGCGCGTGGTGGTGGGCGCCGCCTCCCTCGTGGCTCTGGTTGACACGGGGTCGTCGCACAACTTCATTGGGGAGGAAGCTGCTCTCCGCACAGGGCTCCACATCCAGCCCCGACCGCGACTGACCGCCACGGTGGCCAACGGCGAGAAAGTCGCCTGCCCGGGTGTCCTCCGGCGCACGGCCATCTCCATCGACGGTTTGGACTTCAGCGTCGACCTCTACGTCATGCCGCTCGCCGGGTACGACATGGTCCTCGGTACGCAATGGATGGCGCCACTGGAGCGCATCACTTGGGATGTCCCCGCACGGACCATGTCCTTCACGCTCCACGGGCGGGAAGTCTGCTGGCATGGGGTGGAGTCCCCGTTCGGTGCGCGCGCCCATTCCGTCGCCACGACGGGCTCCCTCCTCGACGACCTGCTCTCCACGTTCGATGACGTCTTCGCCGAGCCGGCCGGGCTCCCGCCACAGCGCGCCCTCGACCACGCCATCGTCCTCAAGCCAGACGCCGCACCGGTCGCCGTGCGACCCTACCGGTACCCCGCAGCCCACAAGGACGAATTGGAGAGGCAGTGCGCCGCCATGATGGCGCAGGGCATCGTCCGGCGCAGCGACTCGGCATTTTCGTCGCCGGTTCTCCTCGTCAAGAAGGCGGACGGCTCCTGGCGGTTCTGCGTCGACTACAGAGCACTCAACGCTCTCACCGTCAAGGTCGCCTTCCCCATCCCAGTTGTCGACGAGCTCCTGGACGAGCTTCACGGGGCGCGCTACTTCACCAAGCTGGACCTGCGCTCCGGGTACCACCAGGTGCGGATGCGTCGGGCAGACATCCACAAGACCGCCTTCCGCACCCATGATGGTCTCTACGAGTTCCTGGTGATGCCGTTCGGCTTATGCAACGCCCCGGCAACCTTCCAGGCTCTGATGAACGACGTGCTGCGACCGTTCCTTCGCCGGTTCGTTCTTGTCTTCTTTGATGACATCCTAATCTACAGCTCGACGTGGGCGGATCACCTGCGCCACACCCGCGTCGTCCTCTCCGAGCTACGACGGCACCAACTCTTCGTCAAGCGTGCTAAGTGCGCATTCGGCGCCGCCTCCGTCTCCTACCTCGGCCACATCATTTCGGAGGCAGGCGTCACCATGGACCCGGCCAAGGTGCAGGCCATTCATGACTGGCCGACGCCGCGGTCTGCTCGAGCAGTGCGGGGCTTCCTCGGCTTGGCGGGCTACTACCGCAAATTCGTCCACAACTACGGCACGGTCGCCGCCCCCCTGACGGCGCTACTCAAGAAGGACGGATTCTTCTGGTCTCCGGAGGCGGCCGCGGCTTTCGACGCCCTCAAGTCCGCGGTCACTTCGGCGCCGATCCTCGCCATGCCCGACTTCACCAAGCCGTTCATCGTCGAGTGCGACGCCTCCACGTACGGTTTCGGTGCGGTCTTGATCCAGGAGGGGCACCCGATCGCATTCTTCAGCAGGCCGGTCGCGCCCCGCCACCGCGCTCTCGCGGCCTACGAGCGTGAGCTCATCGGCCTCGTCCACGCCGTCCGTCATTGGAGGCCATACTTGTGGGGCCGCCGCTTCATCGTCAAGACGGACCACTACAGCCTCAAGTACTTGCTTGATCAGAGGCTGGCAACGATCCCTCAACACCATTGGGTGGGCAAGCTCTTGGGGTTCGATTTCTCGGTGGAATATAAGCCGGGAGCTGCCAACGCGGTGGCCGACGCCCTGTCACGCAGCGACACGGAGGAGCCCGGGACCATATTGGCGCTCTCGGGTCCCCGCTTCGACTTCATCACGCGTCTCCGTCACGCCCAGCTTACCGACCCGGCCCTCGTCACGCTTCAGGCCGATGTGCAAGCTGGAACACGCCGGGACCCATGGACTGTGGTCGATGCCATGGTTCAGTTTGGCGGCCGCCTCTACATACCTCCGGCGTCCCCCCTGGTTCAGGAGATCGTGGCCGCGGTGCACGAGGAGGGCCACGAGGGCGTTCACCGCACTCTCCACCGGCTGCGTCGCGACTTCCACTTCCCTAACATGAAGCAGGTTGTGCAGGATTTTGTGAGAGCTTGCGCCACTTGCCAGAGGTACAAGTCGGAGCATTTGCATCCCGCTGGGCTACTGCGACCCCTGCCGGTGCCACAAGGGGTGTGGACGGACATCGCCCTCGACTTCGTCGAAGCTCTACCGCGCGTCAAGGGCAAGTCGGTCATCCTCACCGTGGTGGACAGGTTCAGCAAGTACTGCCACTTCATACCGTTGGCGCACCCCTACTCGGCGGAGTCCGTCGCTCAGGCATTCTTCTCCGACATCGTCCGCCTGCACGGTGTTCCGCAGTCGATGGTGTCCGACCGCGATCCGGTCTTCACGTCCACGTTCTGGCGCGAGCTGATGCGATTGGTGGGCACGAAGCTGCACATGTCCACTGCCTTCCACCCCCAGTCGGATGGGCAGTCCGAGGCGGCGAACAGGGTCATCATCATGTACCTCAGGTGCCTCACAGGAGATCGGCCGCGACAGTGGCTCCGCTGGCTTCCTTGGGCGGAGTTCGTCTTCAACACCGCCTACCAGAGCTCTCTCCAGGACACTCCGTTCCGGGTCGTCTACGGTCGTGACCCACCCTCCATCCGCTCCTATGAGCCGGGCGACACTCGTGTGGCGGCCGTCGCCAAGAGCATGGAGGAGAGAGCTGCGTTCCTTGAGGACGTACGTTATCGCCTTGAGCAGGCCCAGGCGCTTCACAAGCGGAACTACGACAAGCACCACCGAGAAGTGTCCTACAATGTGGGAGATTGGGCGCTCCTCCGACTTCGCGACACCGAGCTCCAGCGTCCCTGCAGCAGCCGGTCACGGGCAAGCTGAAGCCCAAGTTCTACGGCCCCTACCGCGTCACGGAAATCATCAACGACGTCGCGGTGCGGCTTCAACTACCACCCCACGCCCGTCTCCATGATGTCTTTCACGTTGGCGTCCTCAAGAAGTTCAACGGACCACCGCCGCCGACTCCACCTGTGCTGCCACCAATCCACTACGGCGCCGTCGCTCCAGAACCCGAGCGTGCTGTTCGGTACCGCCTTGCTCGAGGCGTTCGTCAGGTCCTGGTGCAGTGGAAGGGCCAGTCCGCAGCGTCGGCCACATGGGAAGACGTCGAGCCATTCCTCGCTCGGTTTCCGGCATTTCAGCTCGAGGACGAGCTGAACCTCGAGGGGGGGAGAGATGTCATGTGGGGCATGACGTACACCAGGCGCCGGCGAGCCCGGGATATCAGGCGCGCAGCTGAACGCGCAGCCAGAGCGGCATCGGCGCAGGAGGAAGCCACCACGTGTGGCTAGGAAGGAAATTAGATTAGTTTCCCTGCTTTGTTTCCTTAAGAATAGGAGGTGCTGTTTCCTTAATTTTAGAAAAGGTTGTTGCCTAGTGTGAGGGCCGGTTGGCTATTAAGTCTGTAATTCCGTGAACAATGAAGGGGGAGAAGATTATTATTATCTAAACCTATCTCTCTCTTCAATCAAGCCTGCGGTGGAGGGGCAAACCTCGCCGGAGAAGACGGATCGCGGCTACGAACTACGTAGTCGGGGTCGTGCTATCTTAGGGATTGACGCCCTTGACACATCGTACATAATAAAGACTAGCAGAAATTGTTTATATTGCATGGTTGTAACTATGAATTTGACAAAAGCCATTATTTTGGAGGACAAATGGTGCAAATGTTACTGCAGACTAGTTAGGACATGTTTATGATTATGAAGAGAAAAGGGAAATAAGGCATATCCATGACTGACATACCGTCTCAACATCAATTGGATTCATCTCCTTAAGTTTCTGCAGATGACCACTTGTGCTTGGATCGAAAACACTACCTAAGAAACTGTACACTTCCGCAAAATCCGGCATAGCTGTATCAAATATATGAAAGACAGAATTGAAATGTCAACAATGCCAATATGAATAAGATAAGCTAGCAATTCATTCAAGACAAAGATTCAATATTGGAAATAGTAAAATATTTGAAAAAAGCAGTATAAAGAAATGGATTGCACTGTTTTGTGTTACACCATTTCTCCGTATGTTAAGCACCATCAAGAGATTATTGGAGGTTTGGTTCATTCTAAAGAAGGGGCCAGCAGTTTTAAGATTGAAGCTTACAAATTCACAAGAAAAGGTGCACAGGAGGATGATTAAAACATAATTCTTAGAAATAGTAGAGGTGGACAGAATCTGAGTAATTATTTTGCACTGTAAGATGATTAGCAGAAGTAGCATGAGGTACTAACGGCGGAGTGACGGAACTTGATTTATTTGATCATTTGTTTCACCAGGTTGCCATGTTCTTGGAGGGCCTTCAGTACTGCTTGAGCAAAAATTGTTTGGACCTGGTGTTCCAGCACCTAAATCTTCTGGGTGAAAGATAAAAATTAACAGAGGAATATTCCAATGAAACCTTTTGACAGAAGAAGCATGAATACAAACCTTTCACCATCGATGAAGCAACAGCTTGTGGGATGGAACTATGAGCCCATGACGAAACAGACATGTTCATGCCAGAGTTCCTATGGATGGAAGATGAAACTGTCTTGAGCCCATAGTTTGGTTCTGTAAGTCAGGGAGAGGACATTAAAGCAACTATTTGATATACAAAGGGTGCTGGTGAATTTGATGCCCCACTGTGCATGACATGGATACATATGATTTTTATCTTTAACCCTTCTGAGGATATGAAGTCTCACCATTCTTGGAAGCCTTCTGAGGATATGGATGGGCAGCTTTTCGCTTTGGTCGTGGAGGCGGGACATGTTCGCTGGTTCCATTTTTCTGAACCTTCAAAAAGTACTTCTGTGCATGGCTCCTAATCTACAACACCAAACCAAAGCACCAAATGAAAATGGTTCTAAGATAGAATCAATTGATAATGGACAGATAGGAGCTTATACAACGATGAAAAATACAGGACCAGGAAACTAAGATATCCAAATTGACTGCTATTTCTAATGTTGTAACGCAGAGAAAAAGAACACAGCCATGGCAAAACCTTCAGTTCTTTGTTAATCAGCATCCGTAAGTAACAAATTGAACATTTGATGCATTATTTCACTTGATTTGTTGGTGCATATGCTAAATAGTTTGATTACCAGGGTTCTTATAAAGTTAAACAACTTATAGTTCCATTTACAATAGGAATACCTGGATGACGGTCTTGGAGCCAACAAAAGCCTCTATCTTCTTCCAGTCACGGTCAAAGCTGAAAGAAAAGAAACATAGTTTGCACATGAATATTACATGCAAGATGTGGTCTTATATTTCACTGATTTTTTTTGGGACAGGTGTATGGATTAAAGAACAGTAAATGTGGTGCTCTTGGAGCAACAAGGCATGTTATCGTCACAATCATATGCAAAAGGCTGCGATCGTACGCACCGAAAAGCAAGTTGTGCAGAGATAACGATAGTGTGAGCACATGAGGCTATGGGAGTTTGGGACCAAGAGAATGGCATCATGCACAACAAATCATGATGCTCAAAGACGTCAATAAATTCAGGTGTCCAATCAGACCAAGTTAATGCTTGCAATCAAAATACTATGAAGCAGAGAATGAGAGAAGCCATAATACCACTAACAACCCATGTGTGTAAGAATGCATTATGAAAGGCCATCCGCAAACCATATGCTGATAAAGATGCACGAGACCTTTTCAATTGGACAGATGAGATGCATGATTTTTGGATCCTGCTTAACTTGTGTCGGCAGACTAATTGCAAGAACACATGCTTTGCTGGCTTAGAGAATCTAGTGTGTGCCCTACCCAGCCAAATGACACCACCAGTTGAGCAAAGAGCACTACTGCACTAGAGTCTTCATCAGTTGAAGTTCCAACATCCGCAATTTGGATGCTTCCTATTTGTCCTACATATTCTTCTTGTGAACCACAGTAGCCCAAATGGCCAAGACATCTTATTTTCGTATGTTCCACATCAAGAAACCGAAAACTCTTCAATTAGTGAAGTCCTAGTTGAATCCTTAAAAAAAAAAACTAATGGTAGCACCAATAGAGCAAAGAGCACAATTTCTTCATCATTTCAAATACCAAATTTTGCAAATTGGATTCGTTCTATTTTACCTGTACTCCATATTCAGCTTTGTGAATCACAGTAGCTGAACTGCCTGAACACATAATTTGTTTCCCCATGTTGGACCTAAAAAGGACTGGGAAATCTTCAACTAATAAAGTTCTAGATTGAAATCATAACAACGAAATCGAGTTACAAAAAAGATAGCAAAATCCCAAATAAGTGAACAAACAGCTGCACCGACTATTTATTATTATTACTACTGTTCTATATCTTCAGAAAAATGCTCAAGACATTAATAAAAAATAAAAATCCACAACGATATAATTAACGATTCAAAAAGACAGAAAACATCTACGGAGCAGTCTTTTAGCCAGATGACACCACAAAGCCCGGCGCTTCAGGCCTGTGAACCGCAAACCGCGCATCAAAACAAATGGAAACCCAAGTGAGGGGTTGCGGTCTGCTTACAGCTGCAGGGCCTCGAGGAACTTGTCGTGCTCCTGCTCCGTCCAGCTCTCGCGCGACTTAGTGATGGTGTACGGCTTCCGCACCTTCTTGCTCGCGTCCTCCCCAGACCCGGCCGCATCGGACTGCGGTGGCGGCGGCGCGCTGGCGGAGACCATCGAGAGGCGAGCGGAGAGGAATCTCAACGGTGCGGTGATGGGATGGCCGCGTCGTGTCGTCCGCTCGCTCGCGTGGAGGTGGAGGTCTGTTGCCCTGTCTGTGAGCAGCTGCAGCGCGGCTGCGGTCCGCGTGGTGGCGTAGGGGCGTGGTGGGCGGGCGTGGCGCTGGGTGGGTGGTGGTGCTGGGGCAGGGCAGTGATGTGGGTGGTGGCGCCGCGCGTTCGTTCCGGCGTCTGGCTGCGGTGCGGGAGCGATGGCGTTTTCTTCCCTCCGTTTTCGCGTGCGTGGTGCGCGCGGCCGCGGGCGAGCGCTTGTGGCTGCGCGGGCGGCTGCCACTGCCGCCCACTTGCCCGCCGTCCCTCTCGCGCTGTCGCGCTCTCGCCTCGCTTGCCAGCTACTCCCTCACCCTAAATATTTGTTGTTTTCCTCTCTCGAAAAATAACTTTAACTAAATATATATTAAAAATATTAATATTTATGTTACATAATTAGTATCATTAGAAAGATATTTGAATCTAGTTTTTTTAATAAATTTATTTGAAGATATAAATATTATTTGTATTTTTTATAAATCGAGTCAAACTTGCGGCACGCACAACAATTATTTAGGGACGAAGTGAGTATAATTTAGGCACGGGTTTGTGTGGCTGCTGTGCGTTCACAGTCGCCACTGTTTATACCGGGGCAATGGACAAGATTTGACTCCGTTGAATCGCGACTTGTCCCGCTTATTCGTCTGATAAATCACACATCAGACCTCAGCTTGCATTTGGTTATTCACCATGCACGCTTATATTCTCTGGTCTCTACATATATGTTACGTAAAAAGAATTAAGCCAGTGGTATAAAGATATAGAACGAAAAAAGAGAGAGCGAAGGATCACCCAGAACACAAAAGTAACTAACTGGATAAATGCCCTGTTCATTTGGCTGATAAGTCATGGCTAAAAATACGGTTGGCTAATTTATTGTGAGAGAAAAATAATGTTCGTTGGCTGAAAAAGTATGACTTATAAGCCAAACGAACAGGACGAAAATGATTTCACGTAGTATCATGAAACAAAAAAGATTGCATAATTTTGAATTCGTAATTTTTCCCTCTTGTGGCTTACTTCTTACATGGAACTACGAAAGCATATATATATATATTATATATTCTTTGTATGAGTGCATTTTTCCTACTCCTACGTGTACATACTCATTTAATAGTTTGAGTATGTTTATATACTCATTTTATGATATTCCAAATCATACTATGTGAATTTTTTTAAAACAACCCATATTTTTTAATATGTTATTCTAATACTATGACAGTAGTATACAAAATAAGTATAATCATATACTCAATGCATACTTGACATACATACATACTACCATATATGGTCTAGTATGATCATATACTTCGTCAACGTACACTTTGTCGGGCCATATACACCTTAAATATAAAGATATACACATGGGAATAGGAGTAACTACTCCCGAGAGTAGAAAATAATTTCCTTCTTTGTATTCACACGAATATGAGTAATCTAGGCAATCAACACCAAAACTCCAGGGAGCATGTCATACTTTTTCATACATGTCCTTTTTTCCTTGACACTCTGCCAATTCAATTTGATTGATATTGCAACGCTTTGTTCATGGAGATAAGTACATGGGTGTAGAAGCATTTCAATTTACTCTTAAATCACTAGCCAGAATAGAGTTAGCTAGCATTTTGGGTTTTTCCCCTCTAAAACATATATGCATCGATTATTTGTGGCTTGCATAGGTAAAGGTAGCAAAAGATAAATCGTCTGAGGTATGAACACATGAAAGTTGTCCTCCATAGTAGCACACCCAAAAAAAAAAACACTTGTAGACAGGAAGCATGAGAAATTCTGTACCATATACTCACTTAATTTTCTGTACATATGTATCCACCTGAGGAAATGGCAAATCAACCTATTTCACAACTGAAGTAACGTAACAACCTAAGAGCAGCACCATTGACGAATGAATCCGGGCATTGCTTTGCATGCTCAGACACATAACCACGTTGAGGAAGGAGGCTGTAGATGAGCTTTTTCCTGGACCTGTGTTTGCCACGGGCATGCAAGTCGTTGTGTGGATTGGCACACAATGAAAATGTTTTAGTAAGTAAATAGAATAATATTTCTGAATCCACTAACTAAAGAGGATGGAATCATGAATGACATTAAAAAAGGCTCATGTATTTGAGGGGAATACCTACAAAATGTGGAAAATATCAGGTTTTACTGTTCTACAAATGCATGGCATTTTTTTTATACAACATAAGCTATAAGTGCCGCGCAGATGCAAATGAATATGTAGGCATCGAACTAAAATGACAGCAACGTAAACCAATTCAGTAAGAACTCATTAGTTTCACGATATGTCACAGATATGTCCACCTACATTTACCAACTATAAGTCATGGAATAATTATGAATGTCAGAAAACATGTTTCATGTATTCGGCAAGGCCTAGAAAATGTGCAAAATGTCAGGTTTTATTGTTTTGCAAATGAGTGCCTATGTTTTAGGCAATATATGGAGGTTATGTAATGGCAGGATAATCTAGAGCCAAGCATGCAAATAAATTTGAGTTGCATAAGTGGCCTGAACGCTGAAAATAGCATGGACACCATGAATTAATGGCTTATGTGTTTGAGGCACTAAGAGGCACTAATAAATTGGGACACATGATTATGCATACGATTCTATTAGGTAGCAATATTTTGCCTTCGGATCCTATTAATCTTGACAGGATTACAAATGTACATCTAGTAGTATCAGGTGTGTACAAATGTACCCATATACGCCTAATAACAGTTAGATGTAGGGCCAGCTAGGGAATATATTACTTTTGCACAGCCAATGTAAAAAAGAAATGGAACACAATGTGTATTTCATCGATATGTTTGGTGTAATGGTTTCCCTAGCATATAGGGTTAAAAAGGGTTATTTGGTATATATTATAGTCGATGTTTACACCTTTTTGTCAGAATTAGAGAAGTCTGATCTAGGATAATTCTAAAACAGCTTACTTATTGCACATTATGCACAACAATCAACAGTTCTGATTAGAGGTAAACAATGCAATATAGGGTGTATGTATTAAAGGTGGAAAGACAATTTAAATCCTTGTATACTGATAGATACAATTCATTTCAATTTCAATGTTTCTAGTTGCTTCACGCCTCCAAATTATATATCACTCAATCACCTATACTACAACCACACAATTTAGCAGTCATATTGGATAACGATCTTACCTTTGTTTGAATGGTCAAGGAGGATTTCCCCACCTGAATTTGCATCGATTTCTGCAAATACAACCGATAATAGATATGAAAATAGCTGGCCTAATAACATGTGTTGAGGGGAACTCAAATGATTAGATGAACACCACATGTGTAGGGCAAAAATTGACCGATACACTTGAGAACCATACATGCTCTACATTTTTTACATATCGCAGAAGCAACGGATGTTTCATCTCCTGGAAACTCTGTGAGGTAGCATTAAAAGGTATTGGGTCAATTGGAGGGGGTTAAGTCTGGAAGATAATGCGGCAACATTTGTTTGTGGCCTGAACATGCCATTTCACTGGAGAGAATACCTTGAGAAGAGATGTGAACCAGGTAGCATGAAGAGAGGTGGCACCATCAGAAATAGAGATAGGTGTACTATCAGGATGCATTGCACGATGACGCCTCAGTGCTTCACGGTGGGTTATTTGGGATCCTGATGTTCATTCTCCATAATATGATAAAGAACTCGATGCATCCCGTGTCATCCGCTTGGTGGCATGGCATTCTATAGCAAGGGGTAACAAAAATTAATAATGTCTATAATACGTGGATTCTAACAAATTAAATGTACGCTTTCATGGTTTCCTAGGAGAGGAACAAAGATGGGAAGGTAACATTGAGTTGATCCGAACACCGATGACTCTGAATTGAAGCTTTTCGTTTATGAGGGAGATGAGAGATCTCTTTCAGATTTCTTTAACGGGCCCTGTGGCACGGACAGTGTAGTCAGCAAGGCTGCACGAAAGATTAGCTATCAGGATCAGCTATAATGGTTAAGCAGCAATAAAATAAATAACTTTAGTTCTTCAATAATAAGGGAAAAAAGCATCTTAGACACCATGAATAGAGCTGCCTGCAGTATAAAAGAAACACGATGAAAATAGACACAAAACTAAGATGTAAGTAACTAAAAGAAGTATATGTATGTTCAGAAGGTAATTGCGAGAGCAAAAAAGTTGATGTTGAGCACCAGGAAGAGAAGAAGGAGCATAAGCTATATTCGTATTTCTAGGGTGTGAAAATCAGCACACCAAGGATTAAGGGTAGCAAACCATAACAAATTAGAAGAACATTGAGCCTATATCATAATAATCATCACTGCTGCAAGCATCGACCAAACTGCTCTGTCTGGACGATGGATTGGGGATTTTTTTTGAAACCATAAAAGACTGAATAATTCAAATAATAAGGAAGCAAAACAACTTCCTGACCGGTGGAAAAGCACACATCCCACAACCAGCACGAGTCACAGTCGGCAGCATGAAGAAATTGTGACAAAAAATCAGACTGTCACCATGGTCGTCGTCATCGCCATTCATGAACCATATCGTCACTGTCCCTTCGCGAGGACAGTGGATCCTCCTCATCGGCATCATTCTTATCTTGTAGGGTTCCAACAATAATTCGATTCCAATCAGCAAATGCACACAAATCAGCGCGACAACCTCGAAACACCCAAACCAAAGAAATCATAACAGCAGATAGCTAGGGTATGGGTGGTCGTTTTCACACAGCAGGAACAGAAGAGAAGTGGGCGTGTACCTATTTGGTGCTCGTCACCGGCGAAAGTGCCGAAGATGGAGGGCTGGGCACCTAGCGTAGGGAGGAGGAGGAGACGGCGGCGACCGAGTCGTTGCCACCGGAGAACTGCTGTCCACCGCTGCCCCACTCCCATTCATGTTAGGCAGATTTGGTATTGCCGGGGCTGCCGTAGTATCTGTGAAGGGGAGGAGCAAGCGGGCTGGTCGGTGAAGATGACGGCTAGGCGGCGGCCGGGAGCGGAGAGGGCGAGGTGCAGGAGACGATGGAGAATCGAAGGAAAGCAAATCAACCACGGGAGAAGACGGAGAACCAGAGGCGCGTGCGTCGCGGCTAGGGGAGAGGAAGACGGCGCGGAGCTCTGTGGCGTCCGCGTCAGCGACGTAGGGCCAAGCGGCGTCTGTGAGCGGGGAAAGCAAAGGAAGAGAGGAGCGAGCGAGGCAGCGGCCGCGGGTCGAAGGAGACGCAGAAGGGAAGAAGAGGCCGCGCGGAGGGCCACTACTCTGGAACGGAGGGCCGGGATGCAGTGGCGGCGGCTAAATCGGTTGGTTGTGGATGGAGGAGAGACTGTAGGACTGTTGATTTGAGTAACTGTTGGTAAGGCGGAAGGAAAACTAAAGATCCTCGTTCATTCATTCATTCATTCATATTCATACATTCACACAAGGGTTTATACTGATTCGGGCAAAACGTCCCTACGTCCAGTTTGCTGCTGCTCGTGTTACCGACACTTGGTTTGCTGGTTCGGGCGAAACGTCCTTACGTCCAGTTTGCTGCTGCTCGTGTACCGGACACTTGGTTTGCAGTAGGGGTTACAAACAGGTGAGAGAGGGAAAGGATCCCAAGTCTCTGATGGAAGGAGTGGACGAGTGCTGAGAGCTCGATCGCCCCTCAACCGTGTGTTCGTGTCGTGCTCTTATATTTTTATCTGATGGTTCGGTCTCGTGCGGATCTGGATTCCCCTTTCATGGGGCGCCCTGCTTCCCCTTTTATAGCGAAGGGAAAGCGCGTTACAACGGAGGAAAAGGAGAAGAACGAGAGGGAGCAGAAGGCTTCCAGGATCGCCGGGTCCTTCTCCTCCTTCATGCGGGTCCCGCCGATCCTGTAGATGTCAACAGGGACGGCTCCATGTCGTGGCCCTATTCGTCACTAGTGCCATGCGCAGGCGTCATCTGCCGGTCATGGCGTTCCATTCCATCCTAGCGGACGTCATGGTGAACTGACGCGCCTGTCAGCGTTCGTACGAGGGTTAGGCAGAACAACACCGGCACGCCCGACGTTGTTTTATGTGAATCCTTGGGTATGGCCCGTCATGGCCGCGGGTTACATCGAGGCGTGCCAGTCTCTTTCCTGGTGTCAGGGTTTTGACCCAGACCCATACGCTTGGACCTAGAGTGGTTGACGGCGATATGGGTCTCCGTCGGGCAAGACGGAGCCCGTGGCCTCGGGGTCGGGCGAGACGGAGACCGCGGCCTCGAGGTCGGGCGAGATGGAGCCCGTGGCCTCGAGGTCGGGCGAGATTGAGCCCGCGGCCTTGGGTGAGACCCCCGCGGCCTCGAGGTCGGGCGAGACTGAGCCCGCGGCCTTGGGTGAGACCCCCGAGGCCTCGAGGTCGGGCGAGACGAGCCCGCGGCCTTGGGTGAGACCCCCGCGGCCTCGAGGTCGGGCCAGACAGAGCCCGCGGCCTTAGGGTCAGGCGAGGCGGAGCCGGCGGCCTTTGGGTCGGGTGAAACTTTTTAATTCATCTTGCCCCATCCGGGGAAGTCAGTGTGGGCTTAACTTCCTTGCATTGGGTATCCCTAATATCGATACCCGACAATGAGAATCTTGAGGCGGAACCGAACAAAAATTTGGTCCCCAATACAAGTTGGGGAGAAAAAGGGAAACGAGTGTTTATTAATCATATGGCAGCCACAATATTATCTTAGCACTATGTCTTGCCAAAAGCAAATCTTGGAACTATTGACTAATATGCTTTTACCTAAAACGTGCTATCCTTCAAGCACTGAGGTGGGAGTTAATTTCTCAGAGAAAATTTCTCCCAATTGGAGTGGCGATTGCTGATTGGAAAGATGAAAGGGAGAGTGAGAGAGATACCTGCTTGTGACTCAAACATGGTGGGGATTAATTAGAGGTAGGGAAAATGCATGGGCCTCAAGAGTTGGTTGGTCGAAGGATGAAGATGTTTTTTTATTGCTAATTATTCATCACCCATCTAATTTGCTGATTAGTACTAATACAAATTAGTGTTCAGAAAAAAGTTTGGACCCTAGGTTTTTTGGGGCCCTGAGCAGTGCGCATCTTACCACTAAACTGCTTGGACCAGCTTCTCCTCTAAGTGCTTGAAATGCTTTCTTTCTTGATTTCCACAATGTTTTTGTCACTGTGTGTGCACGTTTGATCTTCAGTTATGTAAATTTGACTATTTGACAATGTGCATGTTGGATATCTGAGTCAATGCAGGGGCTCTTTTGTTAGCTGCCATGTCAAAGGTTTCTTCTACTGGAGCTTCTAAAGTTGACAGTTTAGATGATGGTGGGAACACCTGGATTCATATGTCAGAAGATGGGCATTGTTCTGCTAGGACTGCTGCAGGAAACAACGTGAAGCATCTTAATGATGCAATTAAACTTCATATCCGAGAGTTATTTGGTAATCATGGAGATCTAGAAAAGGTAATCGTTCCACTTGGTGGGACACTGATTGGTGCAGCAATGGCTTGGTTTGTAATGCCTGTTGTTCTAAGGAAGATGCACAAGTATGCATCAGATGGTCCTTTCAGGACACTCTGGGGAGACTCTACTAAGAAACATCTGCCTTATGAAACAAGCTTGTGGAGTGCACTGGAAGATCCTGCAAAATATATCATCACGTTTATGGCATTTTCGCAGATGTGAGGACTTATTTGCTATTTCCCCTTTTGAGAGACTAATTTTCTTAGTACCTTCTTATTGTAAAATATTATTGGCCACGAAATTTCGCTGAATGCTTTTGAGGTCAAACCATGTTTCTGGGAGTTTTCACGTTCCTTTCATATATATATTTTTTGATGTAAACTTCCTATGATGTTCCTCTGCAGTATATATATCTATACGTGCTAGAAAATTGATGCTATACATGGTATTTTATATTTGTTCATACTGAGATTGACAGCATGATATTGTTTTATTCAGTGGTATTGTTATACAAACCGTACTACTACGATGCAGATCATTTTTCTGGTTATACTTGTTCTGAATAAGTCTGAGGTCTCTGATTTTTCCTTCCTTCAGGGCTGCAGTTATTGAACCAGGCATTTCAGCTTATCTTCCACAGGCATGGAAGGGAGCATTTTCTGTATCTTTTGTGTGGTTCCTTCACAGGTGGAAAACTTACTTCATTCCTTCCGACCATTACAGATAGCCTGCAGACCACTACAGATAGCCTCCAGACCACCGAGATGGCCTCCAGACCACTCCAGATAGCCTCCAGACTACTCCGTTGGTCTCACAGGATCACCGGCTCACGACAGTGAACCACTCTAGCCGATCTTGCCGAGCACCGGCTCAGGCGAGTGGAGCACTTGACGGTCTCGCCGAGTACGCGCTAGTGTTGCCGAGCACCCACTAGCCGTGCAGACCACGTACCGGCATTGTCCGTACCCACACACTACGGACGGAGTTGGGAGAAGAAGGGAGAACAGAGCAATCACGCACAATACAAGACAACAGCGTTGGCCGAGGCCCTGTCTGTGTGATGGCAAATCTGAGCTCTCTTTACTGAGTTGCCATATATGTCTATTTATATAACTCTAACTATCTGATCCATGTGCAGCGCCCATGCTGGCACAGTAACTAGATAACCTGACAGTGCTGACTCTGCGCCGGCCACTGCCTGTTCCTACAGTGCTGCAGGTGAGCCGTGCGGCGCCTGCACCTGCAGCGGCTATTGTATCACAGCAGAAGGCAAAGTCGGCGCCGCCTTCCCTTGCTGTGTTCACACACAGCAGGCGGCTAAGTCGGCGCCGCCTTCCTTTGCTGTGTTCATATAAGGTGGCAGTAGATTAGCTAACATCGTGGCCATGCTATGGCCAAACAAGCTGCTACATGAACTGACCGTGAAAGATCGTCAGCATTTGATAAGGTGTCATCATTAGGACTGATAGCACTTGAGTTATAGCTCTTGCTGAAGCTTGTGGTGTACCTGTGCAGTCAATATTAACTGTTGGTGGTGTTGGAGGTAATCTTTTAATATGTAGTGTTCTTCTTTGTGTGAGCATTTCCTGTACTTGTGGTACGGAGGGAATAATATTCTCTTCTGTATGTTGTTATAGGTGTTGCTACTGCTTTTGCGGCAAGAGATATCCTTGGTAACATGCTGAGTGGATTCTCTCTACAATTTTCAAAGCCATTCTCAGTTGGAGACTACATCAAGGTCCCTGGTTATATCTAACGAACCTTTTGTACTCTATTTTTCTGGAACCAAAATCGCACGATATCTCAGCAATAAAATGGGTAAAATTTAGTGGTTAAACTTTCTGAAAAAGTTAAATCATTATATGTATTAGCTACCTTTGGATAAGAATTATTTTATCTCAGCGAGTTAATAATGTAGGTAAACAATGAAAATTTATCATACTTCAATGAGTTTCTCAAATACTGAATAAGATATGAAAGGACCCATGCTGCATCTGGTGCATTTTTTTCCTTAAAATGTTAACAAAGGCTAAGCAGTGGGGATTTTTTTTTTTGAGTCAGGACTTAGCTTTCTTCTAACAAAAGTGCTTCATAGTTAGATATTTTTAGTTTGTCTAGTTTTAATGGCTATACCAAACTGGTTTACTTCTTTTCAGCTTGATGCAAACTTCGAGTGACTACAAGTGCTTTTCAATTGCAGGTTGGATCAATAGAAGGGCAAGTGGTTGAAATTGGACTGACTTCTACTTCGTTGATAAATACAGAAAAGTTCCCTGTTGTAGTCCCTAACTCACTATTCTCCAGCCAAGTAATGTGTCATGTTTGAACTGCCATTTTGTCTTATCTCTGAAGTCTGAATGCAAATTTTGCATATCAATGTGGCGTTTTGGACTCATTGCTATTCCATGGACTATTATCTTTATTCTTTAATTCCATGCAGCTGATAGTGAACAAATCAAGGGCCCAGTGGCATGTTAGCGTGGCCAAACTTCCTGTAAGAATTGCAGACATCGAAAAGATTCCTGCTATAACAGAGGAGATAAAAGTAATGTTGATGTCCAACTAAAAAATTGACGCTCCATACTGCTATCTCTCACGGTTAGAAAGTTCAACTGGAGAGCTTACCGTTGGTTGCAACATCAAAAGCACGGTATGTTAACTATGATCCACTTAAAAAACTGATCTCTTATCATGATTCTGACATGTGAGGTACTATTAATTCGACAACACAATGTGAAATGTCTGGTATATCGTATATTAGACTTTGATCTACAGAAAACATTTGTCTTGTGGAAATAGCAGTCGTTCAAACAAACGTCAGCCAACATACTGCTCTGTAAACATGTAGGGATGAAAACCTTGTTTCATATCTTCATTATGTGGAAGGAAACAGGAATATATGATCTCCAAACAACATTGTGCTGCCAAATATCATGTAGGAGTTACCACACTAGCATCTTTTGCGTGATAGATAAGTCTGCAGAAGTGCACTTGCGTGCTTTGTGGAGTTTAGCTGATATTGGGAATCTGTGTTGTGGTTTTGTGTTTGTTCTCTGAGTGTTGGTGGCTATTTAGGAAGCAGCTTGACAACCAAGCTGAGCTGAGCTTTTCAGAGTGATTTGGTAGTACAACAGCTCAATTGGTCGGTTCAGTACATGGAGTTTAGTGTAGCACTATTGGTTTAGTGTACCAGAGCCCTATTTCCTCACTAACAAAGTAACAATTGATTTTCTGTGGCCACAGAAGACAGAGGAGTGGTCATCTACAGAGCAAGACATTCTCCTGAAAGCTGCCAGTATCATCAAGCGACATCAACTTTGGACTCCCGTGTAAACGTGTAATTCTAGTCCTTTAAACTTGTCCATTGTCGCATTAGCATGTGTAGATAGATGGGTTCATATAGGGACAACAGAACAAGAACCGGCATGATCAATGTTCATATGGGAAGGGGATGTGTAGATGTTCTTTCTTTTTTCCCTTCTATATATCTTTACTGTTACAGGAATAAAGGACAAAGTGAAAGTGATGAATTACCTATACAGCTTGTCTGTGTGATAATTACATTTTACCGTTGGTTGATCTCCCAGTCCTCACATACACTAATGTCTATGGTCATCGTCTTGTTGCCGTCCTCCCCTGCCCCGGGAGACGACAGCACCCTGCAGCAATTCCGTCTCGGAGACTGCAACACGATCATGAAACAGCTAACCAGTCAGCATCAAACACTAGCCGTAGATGATAGAGTAGAGTAGAATTGTCCTCTGAGCATGAGCATGAACAGAGGCAGAGAGCTCGACGAGGATTACCTTATCCCACAATGCGGGATCGGGCTTCTTAACCACGAGCACGCTGTCGAGCAGCGTGTCGGGGTCTGGGATCTTCCACCGGCACACCGGGCGTGCCTCGTCGCGCCGCCGCCACCGCTGGTACCTCGTCACAGTGGTCTCGCCGCCGCGCGCCACCGCACGCCGCGCAGCGGCCAGGTAATACAGCGCCGGCCGCTCGCACGGGTTGCGCGCCAGCGGCCGCGTGTTGAAAGCGTGCGACTTGTAGTCGGCGCGTCGGTACCAGTTGAGGAACGTCCGCGCGGGGGTCTCCATCTCCCGCGGCGAGATCACGCCCCTCGCCACCATCACCACGAACCCCCACGCCACCGACACCGTCCACCGCTTTGCCTCGTCGTAGCATATGGACTGCTGCATCACCCCCACCGAGTCCAGCATGACGGGGCCCTCGAACAGCCTCCGCACCGCGGCCGGGCGGGACCGCGCGTTCGGGAACAGCGGGCGCACCACGTCGAGGTGGTGCAGCGACACGAGCGGCGCGACGGGGTGCGCGGCGAGGAGGCCCAGGAGGTCCCCGTACACGTCGTACTGGTGGAACCCTGGGTGCCTTGTCAGCGGCACGCCCAGCTCCGCCATGCACGCCTGGATGCGGTCGTCGCTGCCGTACAGCGACGGGTACCGCCGGATGCACGCGTCCTGCATCCGCTCCAGCCTCGCCGCCAGCGGCTGGCTGATGGCGAAGCCCCCGCCGCCGAACGCCATCCCGTACGAGAAGTAGATGTTCTGCAGGTGGCTCTCGGAGGGGGAGCCAATGTAGTAGGGCTGCCGGTGGTCGAGCCTGCTGAGCACCGCGAGGAGGTTGTCGGGGAGGAAGACGGTGTCGTCGTCGCCCATGACGAACCACCGCACATCGGGGAGGCCGAGGCGGAAGGTCTCGGAGACGATGCGAGAGATGCGGATGGCCGACCGGTGCCCGCGCCGGTGCGTGTAGGGGAAGCGGGAGGTGTCCGAGGAGACCATGATGGGCGGCAGCCCCTCCGTCACGCTGGAAGGCCGCACGGGGCTGTCCATCCACACGAAGCCCCGCATGCCCCCGCCTGGGCGCCACCAGATCTTGATGTACTCCTTACGCTTCTCCCACAGGCGCGCCGACGCCGCGATGCCGAACACTACGTGCTGCAGCGTCGTCGCCGCGAGCACGGCGGGAGGAGGAGGAGGACGAGGCGGCGGCGGCGGCGGCGGCGATGGCGTTAACGATGTAAGGTTATAATTGTTGGTAAGATGCGAGACGGCCAAGGCGTTTGACGTGCCCTTGGCTGTGACGGGGTCCGCCGGCGGGCAGGAGGGGGTTGAGGAGAGAATGACGTGGAGGGTGTAGAAGATGTAGAGCACGGTGAGAGGGAGGAGGAGCAGGAGGACGAAGCGGAGGAGGGAGGCCGCCGGGCTCTCCTTGCTGCCTCCTCCGGCGGCCGCCTTCATTGCCCGCGCCGTTTCCGGCCGTCGTTATGTTCCCGCGGTATTGGTATCTTCCTCCTCGTCGGTTTCGTCGTGGACGGCGGAAAAAGTTGCCGGTGGCAACGAGCAGATTCGTGCGGGAGGAGAGAGAAAAGAGTGAGATTTCGATGGAGGGGGCGGAGATGCGAGAGATCGGCAGGTTGCGCATTCTCCTCGCGCATTGGTGGGAGCGGTTCAGGTTCAGCTTCTCGTCTCCGTTTGTTCGTCGTGCGCTACGCAATGCTTCTCAGAGGCTCAGAGCACGAATGGCGCTCGCATAATCGCATCCCTGCAACGAATGCTCCAAACCACGTTGAATGGTTGCAGGCCTGAAGCCCTTCCATCATGGGTCCGAATCATGGAGCCCAAATGCCCAATCCCCAATCACTAGATATTTTTTATTTTTTATTTTCGTTTTTTGCAAAAATATAATATGGCAGAGCAGAAACCGCAGTACTAAACGTATACCGCTAGCGGGTTTGGCATTTTTATAAAGTCGCATCTGCGGCCGGGCCTTCAAACCAACTCCTAAACTAAAATTTGAGGGCTCACACAAAAAACACAGGTCTAGTAGGGCCCTTACTCAAGCCCTCAAATTTATGTGGCCCACATATCACACCCCTTGGCCCTCATTCTCAGGGACTCTCCACCCGACCCCTATTTGGTTGTTGCAACGGTTTCCTGCCCACGCAATGCTCTTACCACCTCTAAAAAAGGCCCTCAAAATGAGGAGAAGCCACCGGATTAAAAGTAGAGGCTCTGATTTGAGGACTATCGCTGGAGATGCTCTTACCGCCTCTAAAACCACGACAGGACACTCGGCCTCCTAGGCTCCTAGTGGCCTTTCATGGTGTTTAGAGTAAAGTATGCAAGAGACTCAAAAATAGAGAGAATGATTGTTTGTATTGATCTCATGAATGATTACACACACATATATATATACATGTCTAAAGGGTCTCTCGAAAGAACATATTCCTCTATCATTAGCAACTACTAATGATATCATTAATCTGCTAATTGATCACTAGGAAATATTATTCTAACATATGGTGCCATAACGAACCTATAAGCGGTGTTATTTTTTTCGCGATTGGGGAATATAGCTCGTTTTTCATTAAGCAGAGAGAATTACACGACGCAGCTACGAGAGAACTCTCGTAGCATAGATTACAAACTCTTGTGATCCCTGACTGATTGTGAACAAAGATAATTGTTTGCAAGGATCTTATCAAATTGATTTACCTAAACTGATTGTTATTTTTTAACCAACTCAGCTTAAGCAGACCAACTCTTGTGATCGCTGACCACTAACGCATAACCACAAGATCTAGCCGTGAAGTATACAACCATGGTCGCCAGGTTTTCGAGATTCAACCCCATTCCAAAAGTACACATTCAACAAAAACAATTAATAAAACAATTAAAGTGGTAGTAGAAAATAATACATTGTTTAGTTGTTATACTAAGCTCGCTATTTATGTTGTCTCGCTCATCCATAGCACTACCTGGAGTGGGGTAGAGGTGCTCGTCTTGTCCACTTGATATGCTACCAACCATACTCGAGTCATTTGAGTGGCTAACATGGTCTCCAACAACTTGAAAAAAATCAGCTTAATGATTGTGGGCTTGTTCGGCAGGACTGAAAAATAAGCCAAAATATTGTTCCGGCTGATCGTTGTGAAAGAAAATACTGTTCTCTCCAAAAACACTGTTCACGTGAACAGGCCAGCCAGCCAGCCAGCCGAACAAGGCCTGTACCGTGAGTACAACCATACTCACACGGTTTATCCAAACATACTATATACTTTGGTGGATGCAAAGAGAAATCATAGTCCTTTTATAGTTTGCATAATTAAAGATGTCTCATAAATTAATAAATGATATGGCTCTAAAGGACTTGAAATGCAAGAAGTTGGTATATGAATTAAACTACTCAAAGTAAGGGAGCTCATCATCCACAAACACAAAGAGCCAAATACACATGTCTACTCTTAGCGATGCCAAACACCTAGAACATTATCATAACCGAGAGTGCAACATTTCAAAAATGATCAAATAACTCTAAAGAGGGGTATAACTTTACTCACATGAAGCACGAGACTGAGCTACCATGCCCATGCCTGGATAAGGGGCGATTCATTCATTCCTACAACCTTTCCAGCAAATTAAAGGGCTAAGTCGACAATGAATGGACGAGACATGGAGCAGTACTAATCAAATTGCATCGAAACCATTTAACAACTTGTCACATCTTGATACTTGGCTTACCACCTCCATATAATGGCAT